AGAGTTTGTAAGTTTCACCCTGATACCCCAGCCCCTTCGGGTGGCTACGTCAAGCAGCGTGCAGACGAAAAATTCACCTGTAGTGTTTGCCCAGTTGGTGCCATGTGGTGTTTGACTGTGCAGAGAGAAGCATGAGAGTTTTTCTGCTGCATGACTTGGCATGAGCATGTTTGGTTTGCCCAAAGTCCCTAAAGCATGTTTGGGTTGACTGCGACACATGTCTTGTCTTGTTGGCATGGCCTAGGATGAGTTTTGAGGCACTTGGAACTGCTTGAGAGCAGTAGTGAAGAAGTGCGTGTCAGAACTCTGAGGTTCTGTCTTGCTGCAACTCACTCCGTGTCCCCGCCACTTCGTTCGTTGCCGTTGGACGTGTAGGATGGGAGTAGGAGTGCAGAGTGGACTCTGAAGCTTCGCTGTTTTGCTGTTCGGAAGTGACCTGAAGTCCCCGAGGTGTAGACCAAAGCAGTTGCATTGTTCTTTTGCTTTACCTCCTTTGTAGAACAAAGTTGAGATGGAATTCGTAGCTTTTTGGAGCCCTTAGCTCTTGGAGAGAGCTTGCTGCAAGAACTGAAGCTTGCTGAACACTTTGGTGTTTGGCTCAAGTGCAAAGTGAAAAAGAGACAGCTGCGCGAGCTCTGCTTTTCACACTCTCTTAAGTAGACACCTTTTTGACCCTCTGGAGACTATCCACAGCCAGAGTGAATCATATGGAATTCCTGCACTTCTAACGCTCGAAAAACTCATCTCGAAACAGAGATGGAGCAGCAAGGCCACAGACTCAAAACAAATTTGCCCTATAGGCCAAAAAAAGTGTTCGCAGCAAGAATCGCGCAGAAATGCCTGCCTGGAGGTTCGGAGTTCTCCGGGCTCCGCCCTCCGTTTTCATCCCGAACCTCCAGACTAGTCATTTTTCTGTGCGATTTTTTCGACAGATCGCTCCACTTTCTATTTTGGCCTTGAAGGGCAAATTTGTTTTGAGTCTGTGGCCTTGCTGCTCCATCTCTGTTTCGAGATGAGTTTTTCGAGCGTTAGAAGTGCAGGAATTCCATATGATTCACTCTGGCTGTGGATAGTCTCCAGAGGGTCAAAAAGGTGTCTACTTAAGAGAGAGCATGGCCGTGCCGGCCTGGATTTGATGTGTTCAGAGGTTGTAAAGAGTGCCGGCACAATTGGCACGCTGCCACATTTGTTTTTTTTTAAATGTGCCAAAAGTGCCGGCACAATTGGCACGCTGGCACATTTGTTTTTTGGAATTGTGCCAAACGTGCCGGCACAATTGGCACATTTAGTTTTTTGCAATTGTGCCACTGTGCCAACTGTGCCGGCACAGCCCGCAGACCCTGCCGTGCCGCTGTGCCAAACGTGCCGGCACAATTGGCACTGGCACATTTGTTTTTTTCGAATTGTGCCCATGCCAACCAAATCTTACATTTTAATTTACATGTTTGAGCTTTTTCAGCTTTTCGTTTAAGCCTGGACCTCTCTGCGCGCCCCACAGAGAGGTGACAAGGTTGACAACTTTTTTTGGAGCAGGGGTCGCGGCTCCGGCCAGTGTTCAGCAAGCAGGCCCTGCTCTACAGCCCAATGAGCTTTCCGAGCGCCGCCCGGGCATGCAGCAAATGAGCATTCCCGGTGCAAATGACATCTGCATCGCGGGGGGCTGCAGATGAGCATCGCGAGCATCGCAGAGGCTGCAAATGAGCATCCCAAGAGCGGCTGATGAGCATCGCGAGGGCTGCGAATGAGCATTGCAGGGCTCATTCGCAGCATTGCGGGGGCTGCAAATGGGCATGCCCATAGCCGATAAGCATAGCATCAGAGAAAACTTGTCGACCTCGTCACCACCCCGCATCCACGATAAGGCATCAAACAAGAGAGCTGTTCGCTAAAACTTGTCAACCTCGTCACCTTCGCGCGCCGCCTGCACAGGTTAGTGTTTGAAGGTTCCCGCCAAATCTGCAGGTGGCTGCTTCTGAAAAGTCACCCCCAGTTTGCCGGTGTTTCTGGGCGTCTGAGGTTCTCGCGGGCGGGCGATGAGCATCAGATGAGCCGCGAATGAGCTGCTTCGGATGAACTGAGCAGTTGAGAGGCTCTAGAAAAAACCTAAAACTGGCCTTGGGAGGCTCGAAGCAAGCAGTTGGGAGGCTCTAAAACTTAAACTGGCCTTGGGAGGCTCGAAGCACGCAGTTGGGAGGCTCTAAAAACTCAAAACTGGCCTTGGGAAGCTCGAAGCAAGCAGTTGAGAGGCTCTAAAAACTTAAAACTGGCCTTGGGAAGCCCGAGGCAAGCAGTTGGGAGGCTCTAATAACTTAAAACTGGCCTTGGGAAGCAAGCAGTTGGGAGGCTCTAAAAACTTAAAACTGGCCTTGGGAGGCTCGAAGCACGCAGTTGGGAGGCTCTAAAAACTCAAAACTGGCCTTGGGAAGCTCGAAGCAAGCAGTTGAGAGGCTCTAAAAACTTAAAACTGGCCTTGGGAAGCCCGAGGCAAGCAATTGGGAGGCTCTAATAACTTAAAACTGGCCTTGGGAAGCTCGAAACAAGCAGTTGAGAGGCTCTAGACCCTTAAAACTGGCCTTTGGGAAGTCCGAAGCTAGCAGTTGGGAGGCTCTAAAAACTTAGAACTGGCCTTGGGAAGCCCGAAGCAAGCAGTTGGGAGGCTCTAAAAACTTAAAACTGGCCCCTGGGAAGCTCGAAGCAAATAGGGGTGCAGGGCACACAAAGCAGCAAAACACTAGCAACATGAGCATCAAAAACACCTGCGAAGCAAAAAATGCATCCAAAGCACCAGGCGGCGTCCAGAGCTCCAGGCGGCGTCCAGAGCCAGCCGGCACCAAACTATGAAAACGCATCTAGAGTATCAAAACAGGGGTTTTAGGGCTAGGGTCCGGGAAGGTCCTACATAAAAATACAAAGCCAGCTCGATCTAAACCGAGGGCACCCTTAAGCTGGCGCATCCTACACTTGCAGCACAGCATCCCCAAACTCTGAGCCCTCACTCGTAAAGAGCGAGCACATGATATCTTTGCAAATGCGGGGGGCGCTTCAGAGCATTATGTTTGCAACTGTGGGGGGGGGGTATGCGATGAAACCTTTGCTAACACAGCGTGGGAGCATTGTGTTTGCAAATGATATCTTTGCTAACACAGCGTGGGAGCATTGTGTTTGCAAATGGGGGGGGGCTGCCCCCCCCCCCCCCGCTTCAGAGCATGGGAGGTGCAACATCATGTTTGCTTCCGACCCGATGATATCTTTGCAAACACATCATGTGAGCATTGTGTTTGCAAATGCACTTGGGGGGCGGGCCTGCGATGATAGCAAAGCATGGGAGCATTGTGTTTGCAAATGCGGGGGCTGCCCGGCTCCCCCCCCCAACCCCCCCGCTCTTTTTTTTTTTTTTTTTTTTTTTTTTTTTTAATAAAGGGCTGCGATGATATCTTTGCTAACGCAGTGTGGGAGCATTGTGTTTGCAAATGAGGGTGCTGCCCCCCCAACCAACCGCCGTGCAAGCTTGCTTATATAGGAAATAAAAAATAAAATCAAGGTTTTCCTCTTAAAATAAAGAGAAAATAGAGGTCTTCCAATTAAAATATAGAGGAAATAGAGGGTTTCCTATGAAAAGATAGAGAAAATAAAGGGTTTCCCATAAAAACACAAAGAAAACAGAGGATTCCCCCCAAAAGACAGAGAAAATAGAGGTTTTCCGATTAAAGTATAGAGAAAATAGAGGGTTTCCTATAAAAATATAGAGAAAATAGAGATCTTCCTATTCAAATATAAAGGAAATAGAGGTCTTAGTACTAAAATACAAAGCCAAACACCAAAAAAATAAATCCAAAAAACAGTCCCAAAAATATTCTGGACCCGTAAGAAAATGTAAGATTTCGAGGGCGGTCTGAAAGACAGAGTGTTCGCGTTCGAGGGGCGCTTTCTGCGATTGTTCTCCCCACGCCCATTGTGTGTTCTCTCTTTCTCTCTCTTTCTCTTTCTCTCTCTCTCTCTCTCTCTCTCTCTCTCTCTCTCTCTCTCTCTCTCTCTCTCTCTCTCTCTCTCTCTCTCTCTCTCTCTCCTGATTGAGCATAAAACACAGTCAACGCTGCCTCGCTGTTTTTTCGCTAAGCTGTCAATCTTGGAAGGTCTCCGAAAGAGGTTCTTCTGCACAGACGCTGTGTGTGGCAAAGTGTGGCAAAGTATTTCCAAGCTTCGCGACGTGCTTCCCAGCCTTTGATCGACGTGCAAAACGCCGTAGGGTCCACACTGGAAGTCTACCGACAAGGGTAGGCCCCACAGGACGAGTAATCAGCCACAACCATCAGTGCTGGCTGCTTTTTGAAGAAACACAAAGCAAACTGCAAATTGCAGAGCATTCATGAAAGCAAAGAGGGGTGGAACCATGTGGCGAGACCGCTCCTGAGCTGCCGTGCAAATGCCAAGAAATGCCACCTCTCCCGGTGCGTGAACATGTGCCCACACACACACACTTTCGAGGCCTCCAGTCTACCTGCCAAATAGCTTTTCTGTGACAGCATTCGCCGTGAGCTATGCCGCGCCCTCTTTGCTCTAAACAGCGAAGGCTCGCGTCCTCAAAGGGAAAACAAAAGCAGAGCACTCGAAAGAACTAAAATTACAAGAGCCCCTTTATATTAATATTGGGCTCTTGGATCAAGTGAACACAACTCCAGAGAATAATCAGACACACCTGCCAGTATATTACTATTACTGACTATTACTGTTATTTTTAATATTCGCTCATTTCCGGCTTGCGGCGACAATCTGAATCAAGCAGTTGCGTTATGTGAAGATGAACTCGAACAGCATACCACGCAGCCCTGTCACACACACACAGGTTGCATTTGCACGTCAAAGTCAAAGTTGCAATCTTGTCCTTACACTTGATCGTCGCATGTGTTAATGGCATAGAATGCCGCCTGCGGCGAACAGATAGCGCAGCAGCGTCTTGATTTGAAGCAAACCATGCAAGCGCCTTGAAGAACCGAGAAGCCATGGCAAATCCTGTGGAAACAATGGACTTTGTGTTCGGTTACGGTTCGATCATAGACTGCACATCTCGGACTTCATCAATGGGGAGTGGAGCGTGTCGAGCTGCTTTACGATGCCAAGTCTTGCCCAGCTTCAACTTTCAACGTGCGTGGAACTTCCGCGCCCCGTCTGGTTTCACGGCCTTGGGCCTTCAACAAGCTGAGTCTGGCGAAGCCATTGATGGCATTTGCTTCGCGGTCGGCAATGACATGGCCAGTTTTGATTTGAGAGAGCGTGGATATACTCGATGGGAGATTCCCTTGAAGAATCTTTCCGTGATTGATTGCCCACGTAACTGCGCATGTGATTGCTCAAGCGCATCACTTGGCTGTATGCATTACAGCATGCGGTCATTGCAAGCCGCGGTGCGAGGGCAGGATGTCGTCAAAGCCGAGGCGCTTGGCCAAGGCCGAGACGTCAAAGTGTGGGTTTACGTGCCTAACCATCCTGCAGGACCTGCAGCAGCTTTTCCGCTGATTCAAAGTTACATCGATGTCGTCATTGGAGGTTGCCTTCAGTGGGGTGAAACAGAACTTGCGAAAGCCTTCTGCGCATCCACCCGCGGGTGGTCCAAATATTACTTGAATGATGTTCCCTTGAGCCGACGGCCGTGGGTGAATCGTTGTCAAGCATGGCGTGAGGTTGATCAGGTTCTAGAATCTATGGCAGAAGTTACATTGTTTAGTGAGCGTCGTCATGACTGTGAGTTCGCGGCCAATTTCAGTGAAGAGTTGTGCAAGTCTGATCGTCGGCCACAGCACAGATTCATGGAACTATGTGAGCGTTGGGGGCATCGCTGTGAATATGTCAAAACAAGCGCTGAAATCACTAGATGCCCGGTGGTGTCGGATTGGTCTGACGCCATCATCTCTGATGCGACTCGCTGCCCCTTGCTGTTGGGAGAAGGATTTCGATGCAACATCACAATCGCGGGAGCAGCAGCAGAGGTGGCCGAGATCTGTTTCAAATACGACTCCGACGAGCTGTTTTTGATTCCCATGGTAGATGAACTCTACCTTTGTTTAGAAGACGTTGGTGAGCATATCCCAGTACGGAATGGAATGGTGATCCAAGCTCTGGGTGTGGGAAGTGGACCAACATTGAAATTCGAAGTTGCCAGCCGTGTCATAAAACTGCAGCAGTCGGACAAGCATGGAAGCTCGATCCTTGGTTCCTTCACCGAAGACGTTGGTGTCGGTCCTGGAAAGGTTGATATGTCTGGTCTGCAACGGTGCTCAGTGCCAGGCGTACCAGCATCGTTGGGTCGCCACTTGTTTGTGCTGCGCTGGAAAGATTCAGAGGCGCAGTGGCAGTTATGTCTTGAAAAGTTGTCGAAGACGTGGCTTCGGCTTGAAGCAGATTTTCCGTATTTGTTGCCAAAGGACTCTGGACCATTGGCTTTTTGCCTGGGACCTGAAGGGAAGGTGAAGTTCAAAGTTGCGCCGCCGGCACAGGACACAACATCAGCCATCGCAGAACCATACGAAGAAAAGGTCACTTTGCAGGCTTTACAGGACCATTTTTCTAAGGATGTCGTTTACAACAATCTTCTGCGCTTGCTCTCAAATCCTGGAGCTGGCAGCGCATTGGGGCTCGTGCTGGACGAGGCCGCAACGAAATTCGGGCTCATTGGATCCAAGGATAAGGGATGCTACAGAGACGTAGTGCGCAAGTGTGTTGGTGGACGGGCTTTGGTCAAGAATTATGACATGCTGACACAGTTCTTCAATGCGTTCTCTCACCGGGGCGATGATGTTGAGTCCAATGGAGTTTGGACACAGACGATGATAGACCAACTCTCCACAAGCTTACCCACTGTCGGTGCAACAGATCTACAAATGCTTAGCGGACAGGAAAAGGGGCCGCACAGGGCATTTGTTTTTTCGGAGAACGGCAGTGTTATTGGTATTGGTGTGCTGCTTGGCCACAATGGGCTGGTAGAGCAGAGCTCTCAAAACGCATGCACGATGCATGTTGCTGCAGCGGCGACTGCACAGGCTCTACGCAGGCTTGGAGGGCATGGTGCTGTCATGCTTCGTAGCGAGAACGGTACCCTGCATTGTTGGGATGTCAGAAGGGGTAGTTTGCCTGGAGAGATGTTTGCGCACCTGTGACGGCCACTGGTGACAAAAACAGCAGCTTCACCCTTGCGTGCTTTTCATGTCAAGAACTCTAAGCACTCAAAACCACCCTGAACTCATGCGGTGGCCCAGCTGAGAGACATTGAACGTTACGATAATCTGATAGACACAGAACCATATACTACCAGAGCCTCCAGAGGCCTCCGGGGGTTCTGAGCACAGAGGGCTTTTAGGATGTAGGGTTTGGGAGCTGTGCAGTCGGGAAGGCTTCCTCATAATGGGTACATACCCTCAACCCTGGACCCTGAACCCCGTAACCCTACAGTTCCTGATTTTCACATCCTAAACCCAGCAAGCAAAGGTTGATTTCGCGTTTGGCGAACCAGACAATGCGCACGGAGCTGGCCAGTCCTTCTCTGAATAAAGAAGAAGACAGACATGTCATGTCCAGTTCAGTTTAGCACCCCTTAGCTACATATCCATGACGCCATGATGTGCGCGGCAGAAATGCGGCACCAGGTTCTCTTCAACGTGGCTGAAGCAGGATTGGGCAAGTGATGTCATGTCTTCGCACACGACAGCGCCTATTTCTGAGCCATCAGCTTCGGGAGACAATGCCATCATCGATTCGCAATGGCTACTTCTTGGCCAACCGATTGGCGAGGGAGGTTCAAGGGCAACAGTTTTCCATGCAGAGTACACCTATGCATACCAAAAGAAGATGAGTGTGGCCGTGAAGAAATGGCGACTTGCAGGCAAGGATGGCAAGCGTGTGTCACCACGGTCCTTGACAACAACACGTGCTAGCTTCATCACGGAGCTAGCGCATCTGAAAGCCTTTCGGCATCCGAACATTATAGATCTATACGGCTGGAACCCTGAACCGAAGGATGATGAGGATTCGTTCTACATCGTGATGGAGTTTGCCGCATTAGGGTCTCTGAGCACGTGCCTTTCGACACGAAGGGAAGAGTTTTCCTGGCACAAGCTCGGCCTCCGGACATGTCTGCACGTGTGCCGCGCCTTGGAGTACATACATTCCAAGAACAGGGCGCATTTTGATGTGAAGCCTTCCAACGTACTTATCTTCAGTGACAACGTGGCAAAACTTGCCGACTTTGGTCTGGCAAAGTCAGTCTTTGAGTCTAGCACAAATCAAGCTAGTTGCACGACCGAGTATGCTGCTCCGGAGATTCTGGAAGCTAAGAAGGGCAGCAAGCGTAGTGACATCTTTAGTTTTGGATTGCTGCTTAGAGTGGTCTACAACCAGGATACATCAAATCCGCGTGCCATGCAGCTGGCTGGAGATTGCCCAGAAAGTCTGAGCGACATGGTCACAAGGTGTCTGTCTCCCAAACCAGCAGATCGACCAATGTCAAAAAACTTGGTGCTCTCACTGCAATATATGGCAGGGGTGCAGCTGCATTCGCACAGCCCGGTTGCAAGTCGAGATGCAGATGGCCTGGCCGATGCCGTGACAGATGGGTATGAGGCCCTTTTATCAAGCAGCGAGTATGATCTTCCCCACACTCCGGTTGGATGTTTGGGTGCTTGTTGCCGCTCATTGTGGCAGCGCTCTTCTAGACCGCCATATGTGGAGACTGAATTGGAAAACATGCGTACCCTGCAACTTGAGAGCTTCGGCGCTCGTGGTCGCTCACTTCAGCTGCGAAGACGCTGCGTTTTGCTCGTAGTCTGTTCGCTGCTGCTACTTGTCCTGGCATGGTGTATTTGGGCCAGTGTTTCGCGAACGGCAGTACCGCTGGTTCCACCAGCGTTGGGGAGTACAACAACGGTGACGGCAACAACCCAGACGACAACTTCCACAAGAACTGCTACGACTTTGACAGCAACAACTGCGACAGCCACGACAACTCTCAGGACTCTGTGCTTAGCTGGTGTAATTCACAATTTGGGACCGAAGGTCCCATGTGACACATGTTTCAAGCCTGAGCCTGATGATTTGGCAAGATTACAAAACAATATTTCTTTGCTGCAACAAGCTAGCCGTCTGCCTCCCAGTCTCACGGGTCTGACGGGCGCACCGGCTCCATGGGTATATGGTATCCTGGGCAAACCTGAGAATGACAGTCTGACTTCTGGGTATGAGGAGTATGTGCAGGACCTTTCACGCTTGCAGCTCACAGGCACTTATGCCATCGTGTGGAAACTAGATGGGAGCTCGTTGCAAAGCTTGACGCGGGATTTGCGGAGTTTGCTTCGCGCGCTGGATCCAGCTCACCATGCCACACGCACGGTGAGACATGCCTTCCACAACATCACAATGTCGAAACTGGGAGAGCTGGATATGTTTCTATTAAATTCAGGCATTCTTGATCTTGGCGTGGAAATTGGCGTGGGATCGACGAGGACTTGTGTTTTCGGCCGACCCAAGGCAGATGGCCTCATACCAAGGTGGAACAAGGAAAACCCCAACCAGGCGCTGCTGGAAGGCGACTACATAACCGACATCAATGGATTGGGAGTAATATCCGTGCCACAATCAGCGATTGGCTCTAAACGATCCTTTCCGAGTCTTTGCCCGGACTTGCTGAAGGACTTATTTCGAACTGGGCGAAGCACGAATTTCACAGTTTGCCGTTCAGCATCACGGTTCAAATTCTACCACGGAGAAGAGGGGCATGGTCCGACGTGGTGTGGTGGCATGACAGACTGGGATCTGACACCAGAAGTTCTCGAAGCTTTAGGCGGACAGCTGAGCCTATGCGGTCCTTGGCTCCTCCTTCTAACCAACATGACACATGATGTCTTTGATGCGCTTTTCTCGATGATTTTGCCTGCTTTCGCGACGCCTGCCGGAAGCGGGGTAATCTTCAACGCGCCAGATATGTATGCTTTCAAGTTGGAAATATGGAGTGCCACTTGTGTGTGCACATCAAAATCAACATCGATGTATACCAATTGCATCCAGCCGAGTGGCTGGACGAGATCTTGTAATCATCATTGGCGTGATGTGCAGCTTGGAGGCATTTTTTGCCCAGGGCCTACGAACCCCTTTGGGCAACCTTGTGGCCCGCATGCTGGGTTTCGGTAGACGTTGCCTGGATGAAGAGTCCGACTGTCACTGCAGCCACATGGCCTCAGTAGCGTGCTTGTTTCATCGTTTCACTTTGACAGTTGAACCACGAGGTGCTTGCAGACAAGAAGGCAGCATGCTGATGTTTCCGTGTGATGCGTGCCCATGTCGATTCCCCAAGCCGCAACAACCACCATGTGCCCGCGCCGGCACGCAACACCCTTCAAAAACCCCGCTTAGCCCTGAGAAAGCCCTGGAAAACCTGAACCCTTGGCCTACATGTTTGGTGAGGGCTGGCGGGAGTAAAACTTTTGCAATCATCAGCAATACTGTTTGTACTACGCGGGGACGAACGCCCCGTAGCAGAGGAGAAACCAGTGCAGAGATGCATCTTCATGCCCAAAGCACACCTGCTCATATTCATGGAGTCGCAGGGGTGCTGGATCACACTACCCATCATGGGGGTTGTTGGCCCCAAACTATGACGATGGGCCTTGTCAGCAGAGCTGAGAGGGAACGGTTCCCAGGCTCAGCGGAGGTCCAGAGAGGTTAGGACAAGGGATCCAGAGGGTCTTACCCTGCGTGCATAAGTCCACATGCAATCATTTGTACATGCAAGTCTATATGTACCGGGAAACGTTTGTATGAACACGCTCCTCAGTCTCGTCATCCCCCACAGACATCCTTGATTTGTGGCACAAAGTGACAGCGCAACTTGTCACCCCCCAGGGCTGCTCCCGAGTACCCGTCAACCCCGTCAACCATGCACCGCAAAGAGCGAGCCACCGAGGGGTGACAGGGTGGACAAGTCTTCGAAAGTAGGGCATTTCATTGCAGCGAGAAGCCTCCTGAGCGGGCCACAGAGGGGTGACAAGGTTGACAACTTTTTCGCTGGGGGCTGGGGGCTGGCTGCTGAGGGGGAAGGGTTTTTTTGGGGGCGCTGCAAGGGGCTGGGCGGCTTTTCCAAAGCCCGTCAACCCCGTCACCCCTCCTCGGGGCTGCTGCTGGGGAGCTGTTTTCCAGAGCCCGTCAACCCCGTCACCCCCTCCCGACCCCCCACCCCCCACCCCCATGCCCCTACGCCATCGTAAGCAACCTGCGCCGCAAACGGTGCTGCCGGGGAGCTGTTTTCCAGAACCTGTCAAGCCCGTCACCCCTCCTCCCCCCTCCAGGGCTGCTGCCGTCACCCCTCCTCCCTCTCGGGCTGCTGCTGGGGAGCCGTTTTCCAGAACCCGTCAACCCCGTCACCTGTCACTCCGTTTTCCTTGCGGTTATGAGAGGCCATGTGCATGCACCACCGAGGGGGTGACAGGGTTGACAACTTTTTTGCAGCAGGGGTGGTGCCAGCAACCCCTCCGGGAGCTAGCTGGGAGGTTTTGAGAAAACTTGTCAACCTCACTCAGGTCACCCATTTCCTTGCAGTCTCCGAGGCTGTGCGTGCACCGCAGAGGGGGTGGCAAGGTTGACAACTTTTCCGGAGCAGGGGTGTGACCAGCAAGCACGCAAGCACGGAACTACTTCGGGTCGAGGGTTTAGGGCACAGAAGTGACGAGGCTCTTTTGAAGTAGGATGCTGCAGTTCGCGACGAATGTGAGGGTGGGAAAGGTGGCAAGCCTTGACAGGACTCTTCCACGTCCGTGCTTGTCCGGCATGGCGCTTGGGTTGAGGTAGCGCAGTTGTTTTTGACATGGCGAGTGTTTGCATAGACTATGTTCTCGAGTCGCGCGGTTGGTGTGAAGTGTTGCTGCAAGATACATGCTCTTTACGAGTGAGGGCTCAGAGTTTGGGGATGCTGTGCTGCAAGTGTAGGATGGCGCGCGGCTGAGCCTTGAACCGCAGCGGGCAGCCGGCCGAGGGGTTCGCCAGCTTAAGGGTGCCCTCGGTTTAGATCGAGCTGGCTTTGTATTTTATGTAGGACCTTCCCGGACCCTAGCCCTAAAACCCCTGTTTTGATACTCTGGATGCGTTTTCATAGTTTGGTGCCGGCTGGCTCTGGACGCCGCCTGGAGCTCTGGACGCCGCCTGGTGCTCTGGATGCATTTTTTGCTTCGCAGGTGTTTTTGATGCTCATGTTGCTAGTGTTTTGCTGCTTTGTGTGCCCTGCACCCCTGTTTGCTTCGAGCTTCCCAGGGGCCAGCTTTAAGTTTTTAGAGCCTCCCAACTGCTTGCTTCGGGCTTCCCAAGGCCAGTTCTAAGTTTTTAGAGCCTCCCAACTGCTAGCCTCGGACTTCCCAAAGGCCAGTTTTAAGGGTCTAGAGCCTCTCAACTGCAAGGCCAGTTTTAAGTTATTAGAGCCTCCCAATTGCTTGCCTCGGGCTTCCCAAGGCCAGTTTTAAATTTTTAGAGCCTCTCAACTGCTTGCTTCGAGCTTCCCAAGGCCAGTTTTGAGTTTTTAGAGCCTCCCAACTGCGTGCTTCGAGCCTCCCAAGGCCAGTTTTAAGTTTTTAGAGCCTCCCAACTGCTTGCTTCCCAAGGCCAGTTTTAAGTTATTAGAGCCTCCCAACTGCTTGCCTCGGGCTTCCCAAGGCCAGTTTTAAGTTTTTAGAGCCTCTCAACTGCTTGCTTCGAGCTTCCCAAGGCCAGTTTTGAGTTTTTAGAGCCTCCCAACTGCGTGCTTCGAGCCTCCCAAGGCCAGTTTAAGTTTTAGAGCCTCCCAACTGCTTGCTTCGAGCCTCCCAAGGCCAGTTTTAGGTTTTTTCTAGAGCCTCTCAACTGCTCAGTTCATCCGAAGCAGCTCATTCGCGGCTCATCTGATGCTCATCGCCCGCCCGCGAGAACCTCAGACGCCCAGAAACACCGGCAAACTGGGGGTGACTTTTCAGAAGCAGCCACCTGCAAATTTGGCGGGAACCTTCAAACACTAACCTGTGCAGGCGGCGCGCGAAGGTGACGAGGTTGACAAGTTTTAGCGAACAGCTCTCTTGTTTGATGCCTTATCGTGGATGCGGGGTGGTGACGAGGTCGACAAGTTTTCTCTGATGCTATGCTTATCGGCTATGGGCATGCCCATTTGCAGCCCCCGCAATGCTCATTCGCAGCCCTGCAATGCTCATTCGCAGCCCTCGCGATGCTCATCAGCCGCTCTTGGGATGCTCATTTGCAGCCTCTGCGATGCTCGCGATGCTCATCTGCAGCCCCCCGCGATGCAGATGTCATTTGCACCGGGAATGCTCATTTGCTGCATGCCCGGGCGGCGCTCGGAAAGCTCATTGGGCTGTAGAGCAGGGCCTGCTTGCTGAACACTGGCCGGAGCCGCGACCCCTGCTCCAAAAAAAGTTGTCAACCTTGTCACCTCTCTGTGGGGCGCGCAGAGAGGTCCAGGCTTAAACGAAAAGCTGAAAAAGCTCAAAAATGTAAATTAAAATGTAAGATTTGGTTGGCATGGGCACAATTCGAAAAAAACAAATGTGCCAGTGCCAATTGTGCCGGCACGTTTGGCACAGCGGCACGGCAGGGTCTGCGGGCTGTGCCGGCACAGTTGGCACAGTGGCACAATTGCAAAAAACTAAATGTGCCAATTGTGCCGGCACGTTTGGCACAATTCCAAAAAACAAATGTGCCAGCGTGCCAATTGTGCCGGCACTTTTGGCACATTTAAAAAAAACAAATGTGGCAGCGTGCCAATTGTGCCGGCACTCTTTACAACCTCTGAACACATCAAATCCAGGCCGGCACGGCCATGCTCTCTCTTAAGTAGACACCTTTTTGACCCTCTGGAGACTATCCACAGCCAGAGTGAATCATATGGAATTCCTGCACTTCTAACGCTCGAAAAACTCATCTCGAAACAGAGATGGAGCAGCAAGGCCACAGACTCAAAACAAATTTGCCCTTCAAGGCCAAAATAGAAAGTGGAGCGATCTGTCGAAAAAATCGCACAGAAAAATGACTAGTCTGGAGGTTCGGGATGAAAACGGAGGGCGGAGCCCGGAGAACTCCGAACCTCCAGGCAGGCATTTCTGCGCGATTCTTGCTGCGAACACTTTTTTTGGCCTATAGGGCAAATTTGTTTTGAGTCTGTGGCCTTGCTGCTCCATCTCTGTTTCGAGATGAGTTTTTCGAGCGTTAGAAGTGCAGGAATTCCATATGATTCACTCTGGCTGTGGATAGTCTCCAGAGGGTCAAAAAGGTGTCTACTTAAGAGAGAGTGTAGGGCTTAGCAAAACTTGCGTAGTGCCTGCAGGGCTCGGCGACTACGTCCGTCTGCTACAGGTGCAGGGGCTCCCTCTCTCGCGTCACCACGGGATCTTGCGTGGGGAGCTGGCTCTTCGGCACAAGGCCCTGGCCTGGGAGTGTCTGCACGGTTTCAGGGCTGTCGCACGGTTGATGCAAGGTTTCGGAGCCTTCAGGGCAGCTTCGGCAGGCTAATGGAAACTTGGGGGGTTTCGGGGGTCTTGGCGTTTCAGGGCCTCGCTCCGTGGATACCTCTTCTGGAAGGTAGGGCAGAAGGTGATCCATGAGTGCTGGAGTTAAGGTTCCGGAGAGCTCAGAGGCCACGGCTCGCCCAACCCTTGAAAGGTCTACAGGAGAATCGGCGCATGTGGATTTGCTCTGGATGAGCAGCAGTTCCACTGGCTCCCGATTTTCCCCGGGTTGGGTGGGCGGGACAAAATTAGGGTGGAGTTTACTAGACTCGATGATGGTGTGGTTGTGCCCTGGCAGCTGGCCGTGGATGTCGGTATCCTCCAAGCCGACGCTTGTAAGTGCCCTGCTCCAGTCCTGGTCGGAATCGCTTGGAAGCCACGGGCGACAGGGAAAACAGAAGCCTGTCTGGAAGCGCAAGACCTGGATGCTGTCCAGAAAAAGGCAAAGGCGTACATCCAGACGGAAACAACGTAGAAAAAAAGTTTGCTGTTCCGGGGCACAGTCTCAAGATGTCTCACGTTTGTTTTGGAGGAAGCATTTCAGCTTGCTGACAGGCCTCTCTACAAAAAGTTGTTGCAGTGCGGTGCACGGTTTTTCAAGATGCTCTTTCTGAGTTTCCTTCGTCCCCCTCCCCCTGCTTGGTTGAGATGTTTGGGCGAAGATTGTTTTTCACCATGCGAACTTTTGCAGTGAAATTTTACCTTGTTGCTGAGCAACTCTTCTCTTTGATTGTTTTTACACGTTTCACGTGCATGTCCATACATGTATTTGCTGAGCAGCATCATGTTCCATGTTTCTTTGGGCTCTCAAGGTTGAGCACTCTCGCTGAGAAAACTAGCCGCCCTTCCAATGCCGGACCTCTTCTACCAGCCACTGCTGGGCATCAGAAGGCACCGGCAGGCCACGCTGCAGGAACGCCTGGCTGTTTAAGCCAATCGTGGCCAGGTACGCTGCTCTAAGACCACGCGAGCTTGCCCACTCCGCAATCTCAGCTTGGAAATATTCTTAAAACATGCCTACTAAAAACAACAGATTGTTTTCAAAATTTCCAAAAATGAAAAAACATTTAAACAGAAAACACTGGTTTTAAAGCATTTCAAAGTCTGCAGTGTGAAAACTGATTTTGCAATGCCTTGGTTCAGAAACAAAATCGCCTGAGCACAATTCTAAAAACATCAATTAATGTTTTTTTTTTCAACTTTTCCTTGTTTGAGAAACATTGTCAACGAAATGATCTGAAAACAAAATGAGCCTTACTAACTTTTTGCAACTAAGCCAACCGGCTTGGTTTGGATCAAATTTAAATTTTGAAAATTTTCAAAAAACATTGTTAGAAACGCGGCGTCCAAAAAATCTAGAATGCATTCTGTGGAATGGTTGGTTTAAAAACAAATTATTTTGGAATTCCTACATGCTATCTTGCCAGGTAAAATGGAAGCAAACAAAAAAGTTTTTAACAAAAGGAAAAAAACACATTTTTCATGGTTTTCAAAAACAAAAATCCAAATTTCTGAAAATATGCAGCTTTCAGAAATTCCGTATCGCGTACTTTGGAATCACCAAGAAGCTAGACTTGCTGAGTAGAGAGGCTTCTTTGTTGCTAAAAGGGATTCTGGAAAAGATGGCTTCTAACGAAAGAATCTACGTGTATGCACATTTGTCTACGCCGTGCAGCGCAGGTAGTGGCCTTAGGCACCTGCGTTTCTCAAAGGACGTGAAGAACCGGGCGAGATGGAGAGCTAGTCTGGAGGTACACAAGAAGTCCTGGAGACGCATACGAGCAGTTTTCCAGGACTATGCTGGCCACGAGAGGCTCCTCCTCTCCCACGAATGGCCTAAAGGGTCTGGCCTTTGGGGAGAAACAGTCTACAAGTCAACAGCGAAAAGACTGGGACTCGAGCACGAGTGTTTGGTAGACCGGTGCTGTTTCGAGGAAGCTGGCAACCGTATCCTGAAGCATTGGTGGTTCGTCAGTTCGGATTCAAGTTTTATCTGGACTTTATCCTCTTGTGTTTGCCCAGGAAACCACGAGCATGCGAGTGCTACTAGCATAGCAGCGACAGGTGTCTATCCGCAGGGCTTAGGCCGATTCCTGGTGAAAGAAGCCAGGAAAAGTCTCGAAAGACGAAAGAAGGACTGACCGCGCAATAGGCATGAGGGGGTGTGAAAATATGACATTTCTTTGTTTGCCTAGTTGCTTGCAGGTACATGTGTAGGACATGAGTGCTGTGACATGGCAAGAACATGTTTTGTTTTGGCATGAGCATGTTTGCATGACATGAAGGTGCTTTGACTTGACATGTTTTGGTTTGCAAGTCCGAGGATGAGTTTTGGGAAGCACAGAGAGGCTTTTAGCTCTCGGGAGTTGACCTGAGAGTCATCTGGAAGTGCTGAAGCAAAGCTCTGAGGAACAGACTTTGGCCGTTACTCACTCCGTGTGCCTTGCCCCGTCGTTCGTACCGTGTCGTGACCGTTTGACACTCGACTGAGGCATTCTGAGAGCATGCTGTATGTTTTGCAACAGACCTGAAGTCCTGAAGCAGTAACCAAGATGTTTTGCATGTTACTTTTGCATTCTCCTTTGTCTAAACAAAGTTGAGATGTCGTTTGAAGACTTGAAGCCTTTGCTCTTGGAGAGAGCACCTTTGCTGACTGAAGACAGTGCAGCTGAACACTGACGTGTTTGGCTCAAGTGCGAACGGAAAAAGCAGTCTGCGCTAAAGCTCTGCTTTTCACATGGTAGCGGAGCGTCCTGAAGAGACGTTCCAGGAAAAGCCATGGCCCAAGTTCCGGACGCGTCTACAGTGCCAGTACCTGATGTGAGCCCTGAGGAAGAGGCTTTGCTGTTTGGGTCTCAAGGACAACCGACAGCACCTGCTGGAGGAGCGAACCCTTTTGCGTCGCCTCCGGCAACTCCAGCTCAAGCTCATGCTTCGCCTACTGGAAGCCAAGTGGGTGGAGTACAAGCTGGAAATGGCCTTGGTGAAGGCAACTTCCAAGCCATCTTCTTGGAGATGCTAAGGCAGCAAAGTCAGGCCAACCAGCAGAACCAGCAGTTGATAGCTGCCCTCATGAGAAGAATGGATTTGGAAGAGAAGCGTCGAAATGAGGCTGAAGAGAAGGCAGCGGAGACCGCACGTTTGGTTGCAGAGGCTGCAGCTAGAGCCAAGACGGAAGACCCGTTTGCAGCTGCACCGAGCACACCTTCTGTGCCTTTTGCAGGAGCTACCTCGTCTTCGAGCTCTGTTCGGAGCCCATTGGTGCAGAATAGGGCGGAGAAGTACCTTCCATCTCTGCCGATGCTAGAGCATCAAGGCATGAACAAGGGCAGGATGCGAGAAGTCGAGACATGGCATGCCTACCTGGAGACACTGTCATCGTGGCTTGCTCTTCAAGATGAGTCTTTCGTTCGAGAGTTGCAACTCTGCGTCAAGCAAAAGAATGAGATCCTTCAGAAGGATTTGGCGGATGATGTTGCTGCTCGAAGTGCGAAGCTTTACTACTATCTCACCCAATCTCTCTCACGTTGGGAAAGAGGTCAGGAGTTGCTACGCTCGTGCTCGAAAAGGCAGTCTCTCAGTGCCTGCGGATACGAGGCTGTGAGGACCATCACGCAGCAATACAGCATCGTGTCTCGCATGGAAGCTGTCTACGTGCGGGAGCAGTGCCTCAAGTTGGCGACTACGTGCCAGCATCACCGACGGCCGACAGACCTCATCCGTCACTTGGAGGACGAGTTTTCTCGTGCCGAATCCAAGCTTGGGAACTTTCCAGAGTTGCGTCTCACGGAGGCTGACCGCTGCAGTGTTTTGCTGCAAGCTCTGAGCCAGGAGCTCAGACAGTACGTCGTTCTTCATGGGAAGAGCAACGACTGGACATCGCTGAGCGATAGCCTTCGGTACTATGAGGAGCAGCTTCGTCTGTGTGAGGGTCCCTTTTCCTCAAATCGGCAGATGTCAGGAAAGGGTGACAAGCTTTGTGACCACTGTGGACGAAAGGGACACCTGGCTAAGGACTGCTGGAGCCGTCAGCGTGAAGCCGGTGAAAAGGGCAAGAAGGGCGACAAGGGCAAGAAGGGCGATGGCAAGGGAGCGCAGAATCCCAAAGGAAAGCCACGCTCTCCAACGCCGAAAGGCGGAAAAGGCGGCAAAGACAAGGAGCAGAAGCCCGACAAGCCTGATAAAGGCAAGGGCAAAGGCAAGAAGAAGAAGGCTAGAGCCCGGGCTATGGGAGAACCAGAGTCCGAGGCAGAGTCCGAGTCTTCGAGGACCTCCACCGTGATGGCGATGAGGTTTGCCAAGCCTTCTGCTGTACGAGAAGTACTGAGCCAGCCTGAGCCTGAGAAGCCTAAGCCCGTAGAGGCAGTCCCTAGACCGGTCGCTGTAGGGCCGAAAGTCACTGTAGATGAGAAGGTAGGCACCCTGACTGGAAGCACCTCGAAGGGAGATGCGGCATACGTCTGCGCTTCGCTGCAGGTAGAGCATCGTGATGTGTGGCTGGTCGATAGTGGAGCCACATGCCACATCGTCTCAGCAGATCATCTGTCAGGATTTCGTGTCTGCAAGTACCATGATCGCACGGTGACGCTCTATAGTGCCTCAGGAGACATCATAAACGTATCGAATGTCGTTGATCTGGAAGTTCGTTTCGGCGACGTTTCGTTGACGTTGGAGGACGTCCTTGTGGCGGACGTGCCTTTCAATGTGGTATCTCCGTGGTCCGTGTCGGAACGGGGCTGGAAGACGCACCTTGCGCGCACCGGGTCTCGCATTTACAAGGGTGGAAAGAAGAATGTCCGCCTGGTTGGGGCGAAACGGGCCTGGTGGGCGATTAGCGGAAAGAAGCAGAAAGCTCCTAAACGCCCGTCCAAGGGATCGGACATGGAGATCGACTCTCTTCCTGTTGACAAGGAACCCAGGAAAGACCTTACTGCAGGACCAAGCATCCTGAAGAAGACTTCGAAAGAAGCGAAGAGTGATGAGAAGCCTGGAAAGGACGAGAAGTCTATCCGCCACGTCTTGACGGGAACGCCGTTTGAGTTCATGTTGCGCGGTTTGAGGGCTGAAGTTAGGAGTAGGTCCTTGGAAATTCCTGAAGAACACGCCGGTAGGAAACCGCACGACATGATCTGTACTAGGAAAACGCCTGTCCTGAGTGGTGATAGGAGCCTGTTTTCCGAAAGTCTTGTTAGGAAACTTCATGATTCTGTTAGGAAATGCCATGTTTTTGTCAGACAGCAACATGATTTTTGGCAGCGGCATGTGTGCGCAGTTTGGAACGTGATGTTTTTGCTGGCATGTCTTGTGAAGGGGTTGTGTTTGAAAGGCTTTTCGCTTCTGATCTTCGGCAGTGAAGGTTTGAGGTGTGCCCTTAAAGGAAGTGAGTGCCCCAAAGCAACCGAGCCAGGCATGTTTTGCGTTAGGAAGCCCAAAAGGACCTCAAAAGGCTTGAAGTGCGCATGTTTGTCCGCAGCCATTTTGCTTGTTTGCGTGTCTTGGTTTTCCCTGAGGGAAGGTACTGAGCATGTCGGAACCGCCAATGGAGGTGGAGCAAGATTCCCACAACTCTCCAGCGGAGAGTGCCGGGCAGGAGGTTGCGTTTTTGAATGCACCAGTAGAGCCTGCACCAGCAGAGGCGGCGCCAGTCGAGACTGCGGATGCAGAGGCTTCAGCTGCCCCCTTCAATGTTTTCTCGAGGCCTCCGAGTCAAGTTGCAGTACCTTCGCCTACGGTGGCTGCATCAGAGACAGGAGAGACAGAAGAGGAGGAAGCATGGGGAAAATGGAGGGCAAGCAAGGCCAGGCCTTCGCAGCCATCAGACGAGCCGTCGCTGATAGTGAAGTGGAGAAGCATGCTGAGGGGACCGCGCTTCAGGTATTTCATGCAAGCGATACGACAACAGCGAGAAGATCTTATTGCATGTGGATACCCTGTGCCGGCAATTCCAGAGAACAACCTGGAACCTGCAGTTCCACTTATGTCTATTGGAGATGGGATCGTTTATCCTTCCCGTCAGGGGACCATCTTTGCGTCATTGACAGATGCTTTGATGACCGACGGCTACCTCCTCGAGGTTGGGCAGAAGCTCCTTGGGCGGATCCAACGTCCAGACCCAGATGTGGGGCCGTGCCTGGGAACGGGTTGGTCCAAGAGGCTTCGCGATCACGATCCCGATCCTCTGGATGGAACGCCCTACATCAGCGCGGAGGTTGCGTGGGCGCTGTGGCTGCCCGAGTTTCCGGAAGCCCCGGATCATGGAGGCATCCTTCCGGTGAAGAGAAAGAGGGATTTTTCCCAGCTCACCGACGAGTTGTTGGACGAGCATACTACAAGGTTCGAACTCGCGGGTCAAGGCCGCACTCTTCATCAACGCGGCGTGCGTGCAAGGGACGCGCGTGCTGCTATCGAAGGATATACTCCCGATCCAAGTCACCTACGCCACCAGAGTGGCGGGGACGTGGCTGCGCTGGGTTACATCAAGCGTATCCTCAAGGTCCTGACCGTTTACGAGGCCATGCCGGAAGCGGAACGCAACCTTTTGGCTGGAATGTACCCAGACGACGTCGAGCTCCAGCTCGAGTGGGTGCCAGGCTCAGCCATCAGGCATGGGTGGCGTGCGTTAATGGGGGCAATGGATCAGCGCACCCGGCGCTTTATCGAGTTCGAAGCAGAGGTCCGAAAATGGGAGGACTTGCAGTCAGCTCGACCCAAGGTCAAGGCCAGAAGAACGGGTGCAGCTGCTTCCACAGATACTGGAGGTGGAATTGGAGCGATGAACGAGGGCTCGGAGACTGGAGCCATGAACGAAGGCTCGGAGACAGAGTCTGCCGAGTCATCCTCGGCAAGTTCGTCGGACGAATCGATTCCAATGGGGGAATACATGATGCAGAGCCGGACCAGAGTTTTGGCGCTCATCGAAGCGGAGAAAGCCTTGAAAGATGTGGGCTCCTCTGCGCCGCCCCCACCGTCTCCTATCATTATGGAGCCATCGCCGGTTGCGACGGACGGGTACAAGTTCGATCCAGCATCTCTGGGAGCCCCTCTGGGGGACACTGCAGCTCCATCAACACCGGTACCTCCTTCGCCTTCCGCAGTTTCATTGGCCCCTTTGGAGTCATTCAAGTTCTTGGATGTCCCACCTGTTGCTTCTTCTGGTCACTCGGACCACAGTGTGGAGCCTATGGTGGTGGAAGAGGAGCGGGCCCCAGAAACTCCAGGACCCACGGCACCGGTTGGAGCTCCAATTTCCGCAACGGAGAGTGTGCCGGAGACCCCTCCTCCAGGGGAAATTCCAGGTCCCGGTTATGTCCCGAAGGCAGCTCCTGGGGAAATTCCAGGTGCTCTGTCGAAAGCCCAGGGGGCACCAGCGGGGGCTACACCGAAGGCCTGGTCTGTGGTTACAACTTCCTCGCCTTTGACGGTTCCAGAAGCGCCAGTGGCTGTAGAGTCTTTGCCTGCAGTTCCAGAGCCAGCAACCGTGACAGCGGAGGAAGGGCCTACCTCCGAGACCGCTACATCATCCGCAGCGGGTGCCCTTCCGCCTCCGGGCGGCTTGGGTCAAACAGCCGAAGAGAGGGAGTTTGTGCTTCCTTCCCCTTGCCAGAAGAAGCGAAGGCCTTAAAGGCTGTGCGGAATTCTTCCTTTTGTGGAATTGTTTCTGAACGCGCCGATCGCATGTCTTGCGTGTTGGAAAAACACAGTGTCTTTCAGGCTTGTTTGGACTTGGAAAGAAGCATGAGTGAAGCAGTTGAACAGACATGTTGCTGTGTGAGACTTGCTTGGTTAGGAGTGTGCGAGCTTGAAGGTCCCTTGAAGAGAAGCCCAAAAGAACTTCGATCTTCTCAGCAGTACCCTCAAAGATCCGAAATACCCTCAAGTGTGAACCTCAGAAACGCCACGAACCCAAACCTCCTGAACATGAGTCATGACAGACCCCTGCCGGCCAGGAGTGCTTTGTTTTGCATGCCAGGAGAAGCATTGGATGTTTTCGCTTGCTTGGCGATCTATGTGATAGCAAGTCTCTTGGGGGGTTCGTTCTGGTTAGGGTTTCGATTCTTGAAGATGTGTTTGAAAAGGTTTCGAGGAGTTGGTGACTACCCTCAGCTTGTATCCCGAAAGTACCGTTTACACCATCGTCGTAAAGGAGTCCGAGTGCGAATCAAGACTCGTTTCTGTTATGTTCGAGTTGATGTAGAACGTACTCTGGTCTTTAGCAGGCACGTTGTGAAACCAACTTGGAGCTCAGGTTTTAAAGCCTCTTTGAAGTTCGCATGTAAGGCCATGTGCTTGCTTGTGGAGCTTGTTGGTGTGCATGGCATGGTGTTGTGCTTGGAGTGTGTGTGGTTGTTGTTTGTTGAGAAGAAAGGGCGATGATGAAAAAGGGAGCAGATCCACTTCTGAGCACAGCCACTTGAGAGTTGTGCGTGGACTGCCCCTCCCCGGTAAGGGGACGCAAGCTGAGCCCTTAGAACTCGATAGTGACATACCACGTTCTTCAGAGAGAGAAGAGAGAGGAGAAAAAGAGAGTCCGCTTCCGAAGCCTCAAGGTGCTGAACCACCTAAACCCCCGGAACCGCCTGGAGGTGCAGAAGTTTCAGATAGGATACCTCTGCGAAGTGTGGCTTTGCAAGTGCATAGATCCAGAGGTCATTTTCCTTATGATGTGAACTGTGAGGCCTGCACCTCGAGTAAAGGGAAGGTTCCTGCGAGACGCTTGCGAAGGCGTTTGCAACGCGAGGACCAGACGATAGGAATGGATTTCTACTACTTCGGTCGTCTTCGTGTGCTGCTTCTTGCACATTGCTCTTCGAACTATACCACGGTCATCCCGGCCATGAATTTGGATGATCCGGATCTGTTTTACAACATTGGACGAGTGATTCGCGAAATGGGTCTTGTGAATAAAATGGTCACAGTGAGATGTGATCAGGAGTCGGCTTTGATGTCTTTAGCCGAAAAATTGACTACCCGTACAGGTGATGTAGCTGTTTCTGGCGTCATTGTGGACGTCGTGCCCGGGTATCGCCCTCAGTCAAAAGGCGCTATTGAAAGACAAGTAGAAACTATGAAGCAGGGGTTTTGGGCAGTGTGGTTAGACTTGGAGAGAGAAGTTGCGCGGAATTCCGCGCCGGAAGACTGGAACAAGAAGCTTCCGCTGGGAGGAATGCTCTGGCAAGCTTGTGTCCTTTACAGCGCCAGGTGCTACAACCTCTGGAGCTTTAGTCACCAGGACGTGACTACGCCCATTGACCGGCTGCACGAGGAGATTGTGCATCGTACGAGGACCCTGCCGTTTGGATGTCTTGTCTACGCTAAAGTAGGGGGCTCAAAAGCGCATCAACAGAAGTACAGGGGAAAGAAAACAGTGAAAGCTGTGTATCTAGGGCCTAAAGAGCCTAGAGGGGGCGGTGTCTTTGCTGCTCCAGTGGGTCAGACTGAGATCGATATCTTTCCTGTCTGTAGGGCCTTAGAAGGAGCGAAAGGTGAGCCTGTCTACGACGTAGGGGCCATACACGCTCTGTCTACTTCACAGCCTCTGGTTCTAGACCCAGCGGATCCTGAAAGGCCCATCATGTTTGAGCCACCACCTGATCCGGTGAAGTCAGAAGACCCTGACCCGGGGTTTGAAAACGAAGATGAAGAGATGGTACCAGATGATCCTGATCCTCTGAGTGATATTCCGTCTTACGTGGAACCCACAGATGATGAGGGGGAAGGCGGACTTGGATCACCGGAAATGCAGCCGGATGACCTAGAGGACATGGAAATTGACTGGCTAACTAACCATCTGTTAGAGTCTTTGTTCAAAGGACCGGACATTCTGGCCACGTCTAAAGAAGTAGCTGATTCGTTTACTCTCAAATTCGGAGGGAGTAAGATCAAGTGCCAAGTACCCCGAAACGCCGTTTCTGAGACCTCAGGTGAACAGTTAGACCCTGAACTTCTGTATGCTTCGATGAAGTTGGAGCTTGAGGAACTCGAGTCTTTTGGAGTAGGAAAAGTGATCTCTGAAGCTGAGGCCCGCAAGTCGGCGCGAGAGAGCGGTCGGAGGGTTCTCACGAGCAGGTGGGTTAACACGATCAAACGTAAAGGTCTTTACCGTTCCCGCCTCGTTGTTAGAGATTACGCTTCAATGGGAGGCACGACGCTTTCAGAAGGCATCTACAGCCCGACTACGAGTTTAGAGGGTTTAAGGCTTCTTTTGGCATTGCTTTGCAAGAAAGGCTCAGTGTTGAGCTGTGACGTGAGCGTGGCTTTCATGCACGCTGCAGTGTCAAGGCCAGAGTACGTAGAGCTCCCAAACAATGTGAGTATTGCGGACTCTTCTGTTCCCCAAAAGGCAGGAAACAAGAAGGTGTATCTTCGTCTTCATAAAGCGATGAACGGATTGAGATCGGCACCGCTTTCTTGGTATAAGGAACTGAGTTCGTACTTGGAGAAGAGCGGATTCAGTCCAAGCCTGGACCCTACGATATACCGAAGGAAGACGTCGAAGGGTCTGACGTTGGTACTGTTCTATGTAGACGATTTGCTGATCTACTCCGAGGACCCATCGGAAGGTAAGAGAGTTTTCGAAGGACTGCAGAAACGCTACAAGCTGAAACTGACTGGAGAGCTTCCTGAGAATGGTGCGGGGGAAGTTTCCTTCTTGGGTAGGAGAATATTCCGACGTTCCGGAGACAAGCGCGTCTATTTCGGGCTAGATAGCAAGTACCTAGACGCGTGCTGCTCTGAGTACAATATAACCAAACCGAGCCCCAAACTCCCGTCGCTTGAAAAGCGATACTCCGACCTGGTTCGAAAAGGGCAAACTGAAAAGATTAGCCCGGCCGCACACGAAAAGTATCGTAGAACCCTTGGTCGGCTTGCATGGGCAGCCCTCTCCCGACCGGACCTGCAATTCTGTTGCGGGTTTTTGGGCCGGCACCAGGCGGCGCCAGACGAGGCTGCTGAAACATGCATGAGAGACGTCCTTAAGTGGATAAAAGGGCTTCCGCACCGAGTACAGGTGTTTCCATCAACTCGGGAGATCCTGGAAGATGATGCGGATCCTCAGGCGGTTTCCTGTTTTACAGACGCAAGCTGGAGTTTGAATTCGGTTAGTGGTGGTGTGATTACTTGGGAAAACTGCTGTCTGAAGACTTTTAGCAGAAAGCAATCAACCACAGCCCTGTCCAGCGCTGAGAGTGAGCTCGCGGCGCTCACGGAGATAGCCAGGGAAGGTCTCTACATTGCCCTCTTGACAGAGACCATCTTGGAAGGCATTCCGCAGGACAGGGAGACCGGTTACTATCTCTTGAAGGGTTACTCTGACTCTGAAAGCGCGGTTTGTATCTCAAAAATGGGAACATTGCTGAGGAAAGTTCGCCATATAGAGTTAAGAGCCGCATTTCTCCAGGAACTTGTGGATCGTGGAAGGTTCACGATTGAGCACATACCGGGGGCCATCAACCCCGCAGATGCTCTAACGAAAAGTCCCACGAATGACAGTTTGGCAAGCTTGTGTGAGGCTTGTGGCTTGACCACCGAGCCGGTTGGCTGGGAAGAAAAAGCTTCAGGCACTAGCGTTTCGGTTACCTTTAAAGAGCCCAATACCTGCGACGAAGTGCTCGCAATTCCGAGCTCGTGGAAGGACGAGGCCTACAGAGTTGCTTCTGGGGAGGCCACCATGGTTGTCTTGGAACTCTGTTGCGAAGAGGAAAGCGCGATAGCCCAAGCTTGTAAGCGGGAACGTGACATCGCGTACTTTGGAATCACCAAGAAGCTAGACTTGCTGAGTAGAGAGGCTTCTTTGTTGCTAAAAGGGATTCTGGAAAAGATGGCTTCTAACGAAAGAATCTACGTGTATGCACATTTGTCTACGCCGTGCAGCGCAGGTAGTGGCCTTAGGCACCTGCGTTTCTCAAAGGACGTGAAGAACCGGGCGAGATGGAGAGCTAGTCTGGAGGTACACAAGAAGTCCTGGAGACGCATACGAGCAGTTTTCCAGGACTATGCTGGCCACGAGAGGCTCCTCCTCTCCCACGAATGGCCTAAAGGGTCTGGCCTTTGGGGAGAAACAGTCTACAAGTCAACAGCGAAAAGACTGGGACTCGAGCACGAGTGTTTGGTAGACCGGTGCTGTTTCGAGGAAGCTGGCAACCGTATCCTGAAGCATTGGTGGTTCGTCAGTTCGGATTCAAGTTTTATCTGGACTTTATCCTCTTGTGTTTGCCCAGGAAACCACGAGCATGCGAGTGCTACTAGCATAGCAGCGACAGGTGTCTATCCGCAGGGCTTAGGCCGATTCCTGGTGAAAGAAGCCAGGAAAAGTCTCGAAAGACGAAAGAAGGACTGACCGCGCAATAGGCATGAGGGGGTGTGAAAATATGACATTTCTTTGTTTGCCTAGTTGCTTGCAGGTACATGTGTAGGACATGAGTGCTGTGACATGGCAAGAACATGTTTTGTTTTGGCATGAGCATGTTTGCATGACATGAAGGTGCTTTGACTTGACATGTTTTGGTTTGCAAGTCCGAGGATGAGTTTTGGGAAGCACAGAGAGGCTTTTAGCTCTCGGGAGTTGACCTGAGAGTCATCTGGAAGTGCTGAAGCAAAGCTCTGAGGAACAGACTTTGGCCGTTACTCACTCCGTGTGCCTTGCCCCGTCGTTCGTACCGTGTCGTGACCGTTTGACACTCGACTGAGGCATTCTGAGAGCATGCTGTATGTTTTGCAACAGACCTGAAGTCCTGAAGCAGTAACCAAGATGTTTTGCATGTTACTTTTGCATTCTCCTTTGTCTAAACAAAGTTGAGATGTCGTTTGAAGACTTGAAGCCTTTGCTCTTGGAGAGAGCACCTTTGCTGACTGAAGACAGTGCAGCTGAACACTGACGTGTTTGGCTCAAGTGCGAACGGAAAAAGCAGTCTGCGCTAAAGCTCTGCTTTTCACATAAATTCCGGCTAAGACCACTGCAGAGAGCTGAACAACAACCCAGCGACGCCTGCAAACAATGAAAATTAACTCCAAAAACCTTGAAAAGTGCTGAAACTTGCATTTTGGAAAATTTGAAAAAATTGCCACGGAGAGTGCTTCGCACCATGGAGGTGGATGATGGCCAACAACCCATGGAGGTTGATCAAATGCAGTAAAACCATGACGCAAAGAGAAAATGGAAGCGTCGTTTGGTCTGAGTGTTCTCTTGTCGTGTGA